CAGGGACTGATTAACCATCGCCAGGGGTAGGGGAGAGGAGGGAATGGGAGCGACTGCTAATGGCAATGGGGTTTTATGTTGGGGGAGGGTTTTGGAATTAGCAGAGGTTATGATGACATATTGTGACTGTACAAAATGCCACTAAACAGTTCAAATGGCTAGCTCTATGTTCTGTCAACTTTGCCTCAGTTTAAAAAGCAAAAAGCAGCTGCCACACAGAGAGGGGATGGGGTAGGCTGGGCATTTGGGAAAAGGCCCCCAGGAGGCTTCAGAGAAGATCCAGGATGAGGGAAATGGGGGTATGAGCAGAGGCCCTGAAATGAGATGTGCTTCGCCCTAGTGAAAGCTGGACAGAAAGCCAGCATAGTTGACACCCAGGGCTGTGCTACGTACAGATCACTGGGTGGGCAGAGAAGGTAGGAACAAATCTTCTCGGAGAGGGGGGAAGGCAGATGGCATGGAATATGGGCACTAAGGGGCTGGGGAAGGAGGCACTGGATGGACGTTTCTATTTTTGCAGTGGCAAGGTTGGAACTGAGCACCTCAAGTTTTACCTCTTATTTATACTCCCAGCCCCACCTGGGAGGCGTTTAAGCAGGTTAGAGAGCAGGGAGAGCCCACGTTAACAGGGTAGGGGGTAGGTCACTAAGGCCCCATCAATGAGGGCTGCCAGGGCACCTGCCCGGGCACTTTGCCCTGGGAGCCTTGGGCTGTGATCTGTCAGCTCTCCCCATACACCTATCCCACCAGGTGAGCACCTGTAAGCAGCCACTGCTCTAGGAGATCACAGCCTGGGGAAGAGCCACCTAGAGGGCCACCTCGAGTTGTCTCTTGGGCTGGTTTTGAACAAACTGCCCACGATGGCAGATTCTGGAAAGCAGCTTTGGCCGTGGGCCGAGGGCACTAACCACAGGAGCACAGGCCTGAGTCTAGATGACAAGTGCCTTACACCCCCGCATGCTGGCCACACTGAGCCCTCCCCGCCAGACAGGTGCACATAGGGACAAGAGCCATAAACATAAAACCAGCTAATAAACAGAATCAGTGATTTCTTACTAAGCCAAATGGCAGAAGGAAAACACACCAGAGTGGCTAGTCACTATCAGCTCTGATTTATACTCTCCTTTAATATCTCCTCCAAGGAAATGAAAAGTGTGTTTTCATCAAATATAATCATTTATAGCTTCTAAAGGGCAGATAAACTACCGTCTGACAATTACCTGGACTGGCAGATAAAATTGGAAGATGTGTCCTAATAAAGCAAACTCTGCTAGCAGCTACCCTGAGGCGTGTGGCCAGAGCTGTTTTTTTCTGTGAATTATTCCCCAGGAAGAAGTAAGCATCCCATAGAGCCTGGGCTTTTGTAACAGTGTGGTCTGTGCCAGGGACCTCATTCCAGAAGGTGGGAAAGGGCTGTGCTCAGTGCCCTCAGGCCCCTGATGGCAGCCATGGGAGTGGCAGCATCAAGGCCCACTTGGCCAGGTTCTGCTGGCCACCGACCGCTACCTGCCTCACCTTTAGCCCCACTCCACTGAGTTCCCGCCCACTCGAGGTAAGGGTGGTGAAATTCAGGAGATGTGCTGCCAACTCAATCTGCTGCCTCGTGCACCGCCCAGACAACAGCTCGGCCACTCTGGGGACAGCAATTAAATGGAGGAACGTACTTAGGGTCTTCTGGGTCTCAGTGCTCTTGCGCTACCTTGTCCAAGAGTCACAGACTAAACCACGGAATGTCTACGGTCCCCAAGGGAACTTCCTTGTCTTTCCCGTATCTGATCAACGGAGAAGGCCTTGGCAGGGAACAAATGCAGGCTTATTATTCATTCAACAAGCACCAAAGGAAGCCACAGTGCTAGGTGCTAAGAGACAGCAGTGAATGGGACAGACTGCGGTCCCATACAGGTGACTTTCACCAGGGGGAACGTCAGAGCCAGGTTCACAGATATGTCAGCTGGGTAACGTGGTGCCATGGAGAAAATAAAATAGGCTAATGTGAAATTTACCTTTGGCCAGGGAGCATCATAAGAAAAGGCCTGTTGGAAGAAGAAGCAGAGAGGCTGGGCTTGAGCAATGGGTGTGGTCTAGACAAGAGTATCCAATGCAAAGGCCCTGGGGCAGGAAAGGGCTCAGTGATCTAGGGTAGTGGTTCTCACACTGTGCTCTGGGAATCCCTGTTTTCCTAAAAATAGTAAGACATCATTTTTCTTTTATAGTCACTTTCCCAGGGGTACAATGAGGAGTTTGCCAGAGGCCACATAATGTATGCTGTCACACGAGACTGAAAGAGGTACAGGAGAATCTGCTGCTTTCTACTAAGCCAGACTTTAAAGAGATCTGCAAATATGTAAAATCATCATTTTTGTTTTGGAAAACAGTTACTATTCAACCATGGTATTTATGTCTACATACAACAGCTTTGATGGAGAATTACTAAAAGGATTCCCTAGCTTTAATTTCTAATGTCATGAATATTGGCAATTGTAATCCACATAAATAACAAAGCCTCTTTGGGCCCCTCTGTACTGCTCTTCAGGGAGGCAAGGGAAGAGCCCTGAGCCCAGGATCATGAGGAGCGCTGATGTTGAGGAGCAGGACAGCTGGCCAGGGTAGGGGTGGGTGAATTGGGGAGCCAGGTCGGTGGGGACTGAGAGGCTGGCCGGGGCCACATCTCACAGTGATCACGTAAGACCAGAGGGAGATGTGAATTTCGCTCTGCGTCACTGGGAAGTCACTGGAAGGCTGAAGGGAAGGTTATGGCAGAATCTCATTCACTTCTTGAAAAGATCCAGTTGCTGAATGGAAGGGAGAGGACAAGACAGAATTCAGGATGGCTCCGGATGTGGAATGGCCACTGCTGTGCGCCCTGACTACTAAGGGGAAGGGTTGCTGCCCTCCTTCCCCATCACCGCCCACCTCAACTTACACTGGCATTGCTATGTGCTCTTTGAGCCACTGCTCTGAAGCCAGCCCACAGCAGGAGGGCACATAAATGAGAATGTCCACACACTACTCCCCACACCTCAATGGCATTTCCACTGAGAGTCCAGGAGAAGCCCAGTCAAGGGTTCTGACAGCTACCTTATCAACTACATGCGACTTGCTGTGGTCCCAACCTGTCCCGCCTCATATTCCCAGTTCTGGGGCCAGCAACAGGATGCTGGGCACCCCAGTTGTGCCAGCCACCTGGCCTGCAGGTCTCACACTTCCCCTGGAAGCCCAGGCAGTGCAGGAGGTAAGTAATGCATCTTCATCACTGCCATGCATTCTGTCCGCAGAGAATGATCACGTAAACACCGAAGAATGTGACAGTTGGCTCGGTTTGTTTATGTACACTCCATCTTGTCCAAAAAGGATAACAGTGGAAATAAGGCCTGGACTTTCTCCTTCACCACTAAGTTCTGCCACTGAAAGAGGCTCAATGACCCCAAAAGAATTCCTTACCAGGGCTATCTGTGTTTGGTTAACCTGACCTCACAGCCATAATTTATATTTACTGAGCAAGCTTCACCATAGAACACAAAGCAACCTGGAGAACTTCTGAGCAAAAAGCCCTCTTATCCTGGACTTGGACATCACCTCACATTCCCTGGCTGGAGACAGAGGTGGGGCTGCCATCAATCGCACAGCCTGGGATCGGTCTTTTCAGACAGCTGTGGGTGGCACAGGAAACAGGGGCACTCCCCTCCCCGAGTTCATGTTGGGACCATGAAACACTTCCCTTTGACTTGGCAGATCCCCTGCTGGGAATTTATCCTGCAGACACCCAGGAGTTATACAATTATACAGACACCTAAAGGATGCTGATTGTGACACCATCAGAGCAAAACACTAGAAATGACCTGAATGTTCACCACTCTAAAATATGTTCTGGTTTCTCTATAGGGCAGAACACCATGCAACAGTTAACGGGAATGAAGTTGGGTGTTTGTGCCAACGTGTGACACTGACTTAGCAATGCAGAGTCAAGGTTCAGAACCACATGTGTGCTACTGTACACCTCCACGTGTGCAACAGATACGCAAAGACACATATGTGATATACAGAGAAACACTTCCGGGTGGATATGTAAGGAACTGTTAGTAGTGGTTACTTCTGGAGCAAAGTAAACGTTTTCATTTTAGCATATCTTGTTTGGATTAAAAAAAATCATATGGCTACAGTATATTAGAGATAAATTAATTGAATCAAAGGATGAGAGTAAAATAAATCATGGAGGAACAAAGGACCCACATTTGGGGTAGGATCTTATTGGCTGCACTTTGTTTTTAAATCAACAGCGACTTTGGAGGTCATTTCACTACACCTGCAATTCAGGTGTGAATCTCAAACATAGAGGAGTGGAATGGCAGGGAAGACCTGGGCCGGTTTCTGTGTTTTGGACTGGAAGGAAGGTCTCTCTTTCGAGGGACCGAGGGATCTGGTGCATATGGATGTACTTAAGGCCCATGTGTTAGAACAGGAAGCAGGGCGGCTCTTCTGGAGAAGCGGTTCTTTCTGTTCTGCCAAAGTGACAATGAACTTTCCATTCAAGTTTCCCCTCTGCGGGGAGTTCAGGAGGAGGGCTGAGACAGCTCTAGAGAAAGTGGAATGGAAGGAAAGGACAGCTGGTGTGCAGCGAGGCCCTCTGCACACAGCTCGCTTCTTCAGGGATTGTACCAGGAAACACATAGTATTTCTTTCTAGTCATCTTTCATGGAGGAGGAAATTACTCTCCCACAACCTCATTACCAAGAATCCAATTATTTCCAAGAAACTTCTTAGTCTCAATTCTGAGAAGTTCTTCATATACCCCCAAAATCTTTGGAAAACCAAACTGAAGGGGCAAAACACCAAAGGGAAAGCCAAGATTTACTTCTGGGGTTTGTGTTAATTTGTATTATGCTTTGATACATTCTAAGAAGCTGGTGCTTCAAGCTGCTGGGATTTCTCAGAAAGAACGGGCAATGTACACAGACCCAACAGAGAGAAGGTCCCCAGATCCCCAGCGGGAGGGAACTTACCTGGCACCTTGTCCACAGATGCGAACACAGAGCGCTGCACCGTGGGGTCACTGCTGCCTCGGCGGCCCTGATCATAGAAGCGGAAAGGCAGGTGCTGGGTGGAAGCGGAGGTGCCAAGTCCAAATCCCAGGACTTCAGTTGTTGGCTGGATTGGGAGGTCCAGGAGTGCTACAATCAAACAACAGCCCAGTTCACTCTTAGTACGTGGGATGGGACAGGCAGGAAAAAAGACTTGGGGGCTGTGGCCCAACCATTTGTGGCACTTGGGAGATACCAAGCAGGCAGCCTTGCTCTGGGGAGACCAGCAGAACACGGAAGATCCCACTGAGGTTCAGAACATGAAACACAGCCAGGTATCTAGTGAGGGCTTCAGGCCAAGGTTGAGACCAAGGAATGAGGGGTTTTGGGCTTGGTTCTTCAAGCAGAATGGATGCTGGGCCAATTTACACCTTGAAATCTCGAGTTCCATGTAGATAGACTCTTGCCAGTGGCTTAGCTTCTAGTGGTGTTTCAGACCCCAAAGAAGCAGGGGTAATTCTCCCCTGAAGGTTTATGTAAGTATATATAAATGACCCTCATATCCGCAGGGGATTGATTGCAGAAACTCTTAAGGACATTAAAATCTGAAGTTGCCTAAGTTCTGTATGTAAAATGGCCAGGTATTTGCAAATAACCTGGGAACATTCTCCTGTAAACTTCAAATCATCTTTAGGTGATTTATACTCAATAGGATGTAAATGCTATGTAAATAGTTGTTATACTAGATTGCTAGGGAAATGTTATGGGGAAAAAAAATCTGGGAGTTCAGTACA